AAAATTCAAGTTACTAAGAAAAAAGGAATTAGACCGGGGATATAGCTTAGCAACATAGCACCTTCCTGGCAGGTGTGATTCTCAGTTAAAAAAAAAAGAAATTAAAAAATAAAATTGAAACAGCTAGTTACTGACCTAGAAAAACAGAATTAGAACCCTATATCCCATGACAAGAATAAATTCAAGATCCATATTTTTTTCTGGAGAAATCCAAAGGCTTTAAATAGAAAGATATATTTCATTTAATTAACAGTGAAAAGTTTCTCATGGAAGAGTATACTGTGAACAGAGTCAAATGACAACTATAACAAAAATAATTGTAATGTATAAAATTAATACTCTTACAGAGGGCTAACTTCCATAATTCATAGGAAAAGAGAAACTACCCAAAAGGAAAATGGATCAAGGATACAAATAAACAAACCTAGTAAGTGGAGAGGTAATGCAAAAGGCCAATAAAATAATTTCACTAGCAATCATGGAAAATGAAATTAAAGCAGAAATAAAATATCATTTCTTACAGATTAAAATGGAAAAATTTCAAAAGCCTGGTGAAAGCCACTGTTACCAAAAATTTAAAAGGATGTTTGCTTACTTTGTGGGTACAAATGCGAACCATGATGAGTAAATCTTTTTTATTTTTTTGGTGGTACTAGAGACTGAACTTAGGGCCTTCATATTAAGCTATAACCCCAAATCCCTTTAATTTCTTTTCTTTTTTTTTTTTTTTAAAACAGGGTCTTGCTAAGTCACAAAGTTGCCCAAGCTGAGCTAGAACTTGCAGTCCTTTTGCGTTGGTCCCCCAAAGTCCCGGAATAACAGGCATGTGCTGCCATGCCCAGCCTCAGCATAACTGTCTACCTCCTGGCAATCTGGTGTGTAGAAACTAAGCCACTGGTGTGGAAGGCTGGGTGCATAAAGATGTCTGTTACAGTTGCAGGAGGACTGTGGAGGTGTCCAGAAGAGGATTAATATTTCAGCCTGAGACTGTTACCTTAGAGAGGCCTGCTGTGAGGAGGCCCTTGGCTGTTTGTTATCTGGGAACTTCTAGGGAAACAGTTCCTATCCTGATATAAAACTTCACCCGGGTGTTAAGAGTGGCATACTGTGCTTAAACTGCTTGCACAAACAATGTGGTTTGTCCTGCATACCAAAATTCCTTCTGGTGGTCTGAAATTTTGGGGCATGCTAGGCAGAGGGTGCTCACATGATCAGTCCCCAATAAAAATGTTCAGCACTAAGTCTCTAATGGGCTTCCCTGGTAGAGGACACCTGGCTTCTGTTGTCTTAATTCACTGCTTAAGGAATTAAGTATAAATTGTCAATTCCCCTGGCAGAGAAGGCTTGGAAGCTTGCTTCTGATTTTCTTTGGATTTAGTGCTAAGAGCTTTCTCTCTTTGCTGATTTTGCTGTGTATCCTTTTGCTGTAATAAACTACTTATACTTTAACTCTGTATTGAGTTTTGTGAGATCTTCTAGTGAACCACAGAAATTTATGGTGTTCTGGAGACTACCAACATGGGGTGAGGAGAGATGCAGGCAGAGAACGTAAATGTCGGGGAAGAAAGAGAGCAACAAAAACTGCAGAAAAATAGAAAAGTGATAATTATATGAATTATGAATTATGACTTATATTCAATGTAGTATGCATCCTTATATATGTGTACAGCACAGTATCAAAAGGGATGCAGGGGTTGTGGCTACAGTTCACTGGTTGAGTGACTGCCTACTTACGGTGGTAGAATTTTAGGTGATTTTTAAAAACATTTTCTTTATAATTTTGATTGTTTTCCAAGGCTGGAGACTGAACTGTGTCAGGCAAATGCCCTAACACTGAGGTATATCCACAACCCTAAATTTGATTTTACAATGAACCTATGTTATTTATATAATTAGAAAAAAGATAAAGCTATTTTTATTTAAAAAGGAAATAAAAACCAATTGTTGGGAGATTCTTGTTTAAAACAGCAGCTCCTGATGCTATGTCTACTAACTTCCACTAAATTACTCTAAAGAATTTATAGAAAAAGGGAAAACACATCACATAGGAAATCAGGTGATTGATGACTTTTTCCCAGAAGCTGGGAGAGATTTTTATGAGTTTTATGGAATGTGAAGTTGGTCAGAAAAATATAATCAATAGATTATACAGTTCCCTAAAGGCTCCTGGGGATAGATGCCTATTCCTTACCCCATTTCCTATGGTTCCAATGTGGGATCTGTCTCACAGAAAAGATAAATCACTTTCCTTGCACTGCATGGTTTATGAAGTGATCATCTCTACTTTTTATGAAGAGTGCCTCTTTTGCAGTTAGAGATTATAATTTCTCAACAGAGACAAAGCAGAGGTAGGGACTGGTAATAGCATATCACATTTCTAGAAGCAGAGTGTCATAGCAGCTACGTAACTCTGGGTTAAATATTTATGTAGATGAGCTGGGCTGTGGGCTGGAAAGGGAGTGGTTAGCAGAGATGAAACACACCCAAGTCTGTGGCATACTGACAATTGAAAATGAAGTGCAGAAACTGCCACTATATGTTTAAGAGGATTCTGCCAGTTACCAAGTGGACAGACTGAGCTCAGGGTAGGGTTTATAATCCCCACTGGGATACATGAATGTCTGGTATACTACTGGTAGCTACAACAGCAACAGCCATCAACCTGGACAGGCTTAAGCAAACTCGGGTTTGCTCAGCTGAGTAAGGCTGGATCCATTTCAAGTATAAGCAGAAAGAGAAAAACATATCAAATCTGAGAAAAAAACATTAAAAAGTAAGAACTGTAGAGAAAAGACTTGAAGATAAATAGAACAAATAGATCAATAGACCCATGAAAATAATTTACTACAGCAGACAGAAAATAGAGATCCAACTTGCAAATTTACAAGCATTCTCAGAGAAAGAAAAAAATGAACAAAGCAATTTTAGAAAAAGCAATTACTAGAAGGAAAACTGAGAATGAAACAAAATTTAGTATTCTGGCCCAAAAATTATTCTTAGTCCCAGGGGAAATAAATGAAAATGAGACCAAGACTTGAGAATTGACATGGAAAAGACAACTGCTTATTCACACATTATATAATCATTTATCCAGAAAAACTAATATCCACAAATATATGAATCAATAAACCAACATAAGCCAATATCCTTTCTCTGTACCAACACTGCCACATAGATAATACAATAAATTCACACTAGCAACGAAACATCTAGAATTTACAAGGCCTCTTTCAGTCTTAAGGCCAATGAAGATGATTTATTTTATACTCTTGATGTGATAATTTAATATTATAAAAATATTAATCCTTGCAAGTGAATCTATAAATTCAATGCAATCCAAACAAAGTTATTATTGCACTTAATGAACTTATTATACATATTAAATTTTATATTGTAGAATAAAGGTCTATGTATAGGTTAACCCAACTTTAATCAAGAGAAGCAGACGACATGGATTTATCACTATATACTAAGACATACAATAAAAATCGTAGTGCAGTACAAGGATAAACAGAAAAATGGAATAGAATCAAGTAGTTAGAGACAGAAAAAAACATACACAAACTTAACATGATAAAATGACACCAATAATCAATGGTAAATGGACAGAATATTTAGTAGATGGTACTCAGAAGACTAGGTAATTGTATGTAGGAAAAGAAAAACCAAATTCCTATGTAAAATCACACTTATGGGAGGATTCTTTTAATTTTATTTATTTATTTATTTGGTACCAGGAATCAAATTCAGGATCTTCTGCTTGCCAGGCAAGTGCTTGTGCTTTCTTATGGGTAGATGTTAAATGGATTAAAACCCTAAGTGTAAAAAGGATATTCACAGACTAAAATATATGCTAATATCTGTGTGGACACAGAAATAAGGAAATTCTTACTTTACAAAATTCTGAAACACAAATTATAATGCAAAAATTTAAGAGTATGGTTATGTCAAAATTAAGGAATTTGTTCAATAAAACATTACAGATAAACTTCACTTAAATGCCTACACAATAACAGGATATATTTATAATGTCTAAAGTGAATAAAAGGTTGTTTGAATATTTAAGGAATTCCAACTAATCAACAAGAAAGTACCAACTCCATTAGAAAAATGGACAAAGGATATGAATAGGCATTTCACAGGAAAACACAAAGAGCAAACAAGCATTTAATAAAATGTTTAAATTCAATAGTAACGAGGAAAATACAACATAAAACAATGATGATATCAGTACACTAATTAGTCCGATAAACTTTAGGTAGCAGATAGTAGTTATCACACTGGTAGAGATGTAGAGGTTGTGCAAACTGGTAGTGATTCTGAAGCAGAATGTGGCATTATTTATATCAATTAGGTAAATGGTATGATATAAATGCTATTAATCTGCAACTTTTTTCCTGGTAAATATCTGAAGGACATCCTTGAAGAGGTACATGATTTCTTCTAATACATATTTATTACTACTGCATTAAAATGGTTCACACAGAAGCACTGAGAACAAGGGTGGGAGATAAGAGGAATGACTGCAAGAATGAAGTAAAAGGAGGTCTTGCACAGATAAATCAGCATGGGTACAGGTTAGTGACACACGGAGCTAGCAAGCTATACCTGATGTCAAGTGGCCGTGGTGGTGGCTGTGGGGGTAATGATGGGTGAGGGAGGCAATCATGAACATGGTGGCAACATTTTTGAAGCAAAAGACAAAAAATTTCTTTAAGCATTTAAGTTGAGAGGAAAAACAGTTAGTTATGAAAGATGAAAAGCAGATTGGCTCATATACCTCTTTAACTTCAAATACCAGAAGACAAAATGTCTCCAGAATTTTCAGGGTAATGTAATTTTGAATTTGGAAAATCAGGTAAGTTTTCCATGTGTGAAGGTAGCAAACATTCTAAGATATGCATAGACATACAGAATATACGATCACGAAATTTTCTTATTAACACACTAACCAAATTTGAAATATAAGGAAAGCCCTTATACATAAAATATGAAATTACCTTCTGTAGGAAGAGGACAATCCTTACAAGCATCTGGGCACGGAGTTCTTCCAAGGTAAACAATGTATGGGGTGTTCGGATGAAAATTTTGGTTTTCCCATAAGCTACGTCATCCTGAAAACCACATTGCTCTATCAGTTTCTTGACAGCCTCTTTATCTGAAGGAAGGTCATGGTTGGGCCAGGTGAATTCAGAGATCATCTTATACCTGGGAAAAAAACAACAGAGCATAGATTAAGGGAGATAAACTACCTGGTCATCTCAACAGAAAAGTGATTCAATAAAATTCAAGATGTTTGATAAAGACAAAACAAAATATTTGTAAACTGTTAATAGAAGTTAATTTTATTAGCCTGATAAGGATGCAAAAAAAACCTTCAATAAAATATGACTTCATGAAAATAACTCTTATTAAACCAGGATAGAAGGGACTTCCTTAACCTAATCAAGGCTATTTACCAAAATTTTACAGCAAGTGCTATATATGTAAATGGGTGATCTCGGAAGCATTCTCTTCACAAACAGATATAAGGATGTTTCTGTCATAAGTTCTACTCTACTTTATTCTGGTATATAGAACTGGCACACTGAGACCAAGAAATTAATTAGTGAGAAAAGAACAAAACTGATAGTACTTATGAACAATCTGCCTCTATTCAAAGGAAATCAAGTAGATCTTTACATAAACTTTTAACTGAAATAAAATTAGGCAGTGCTGTGCATATAAGATATAAGATCAACACACAAAAATTAATTGTATTTCACATATATGCAGGCAAAAGCTCCTTGGATGGGCATCATAAAGGCAATCACCACTTGGCAGGTGGCTCGCTTCCTGAGCATGGCTGTACAAGATGGAAGTTACAGAGTCACAAACTTTTTGTACCCCATATTAAGAAGTGACATCCCGCTGATTTTACCATATTCTATTTTGTTAAAAGTGTAGGTTTAGCCTACACTTGCGGAGTACATAGGGCATGAATACCAAGTGATAGGGTACCAGCCATGTTAGAATACTGCCTGTCATAGTGATTTCCCTCTTCATACAAAGTTGTTTAATACATGCAGTAATATCAAATAATATTTTTCTTATATTAAATCTGAAATTTTTGTCTTTCTGAGACAAGATCTCCCTAGGCAGTTCAGGCTGGCCTTGAGATCACTTTGTAACTCAGGTTGTTTTCGAACTCACAATGATTCTCCAGCCTCAGCCTCCTAAGTGTTAGGATTACTGGCATGCACCACCTGCTTTGACTCACTTACTGATATTTTTGATGAAGTTATCCAGTGATTCTAATACCATTAAACAGTCCATACTTCCTCCTGTGATTTAACACCCATCTCTATCATATGCTCAATTTTCATACACTCTTCAGTTAATTTCTGAATGTTCTAATCTGTTTCATAGCTGTGTATCCATCTGTGCATTGGTACCTCATGATTTTAAGTATAAGGGCTATTGGAAGACTTTAATTTTGCATTTTTTTAAAAAGGTCTTTCTAGCTATTCTGACATGTCTATTTTTCCATATGAATTTTAGAATTAGATCTTATAATTTTAGGGAAAAAAAGAACTCAGCCAACAAAGTAAGGTGAAAAAAAGAAAAACCACCAAACCTCCAAAACTTCTTTGATAACTAGTTTTACTTCTCTCACACATTAAAATTTACTTAATTTTGAAAACAAAAATACTAGCAAAAAAGTGAAAATGATGTTACAGAATTTCAGAACAAAATAATAGGAAATTAACAGTAGCTAATATGTTGCATACTGTTATCTTCAAAGTAGTTGCTTAGATTATAAGATTTAGGCATTAAAAAAGATCAAACAATGGAAGCACAAACTATTCTTTTTGATTAACAGAGAAGAGTATATTGCTCTCTATCATATATATATACACATGAATCTGGTTTATTTCACTTATGAGTGTGGTCTCAAGTTATATCCATTTACCTATAAAAGCCTCAAGTTTATCCTTCTTTATTATCTGAGTAATATTCCATTGTATAAAAATACCACATCTTTTTTATCCATTCCACAGTTGATGGGCATTTGTGTTGTTTCTAAGATTTAGCTATTACAAATTGTGCTGCAATAAACATGGATGCATACATATCATTGTGGCATATTTTCACTTCTTCTGGGAAAACACTCAGAAGGGGAATAGCTAGATTGAATAGGACCTCCAATCCTAGTTAAAGGAATCTCCACACCGATTTCCACAGTGGTTTTACCAGTCCTCACACCTATCAACAGTGGAGGATTCTTTTTTTCTCCATATCCCCATCAGCATTTCTTATTTGTTGATTTCTTTTTTTTTTTTTTTTTTTTTTGTCTTTTTCCTTTTTATCGGTACCGGGGATCGAACTCACGACTGGCTGCTTGCAAGGCAGGCGCTTATGCCGCTGAGCTAAATCCCCAGCCCCCTAGTTGTTGATTTTTTGATGACTGCCATTCTTTCTGGAGATGGAACCTCAGTGTTGTTTTAGTTTGCATTTCTATAGAATGATCAGTGATGTTGAACATTTCTTCATGTATTTATTTACCATTTCACACATTAAATTTATGTATGATGTTGTGCAGTCCTACTCAAGAGCATGAGATGTTTTCCCATTTGTCTGAATCTAGTTTTTCACATTCAAGCATCTTTAAGTTCTTCATATTCCTTGTTAAGATATCCAAGTGGCACCTGGTACGGTTAATTTGCTCTGTTCTTGACATGTCTCTCTCTCAGCTTCCTGGGTAGTCCTTCTGGGCCTCACTTTCTGGTAGATCTGGCTCCCATTGTGCCCTCCATGAGGAAGTATCCTAGGACCCACGCAGGATTTCTACGTACACTTTCTCCACATCACTGCATCTAGCCCACTGATTCTAAATAATTTACTTAAAATACAAAAATGTAAAACATAAATATATTCATATTTTAAAATACAGAAAACACAGTTTTCAGTTCATAAGGTATTATTCCTGGCCTCAACCTCAGTTCTGAGCTTCAGACTGACAGATCAGATGTTTACATAGGTCTTGAAGGCATTTTAAACTTCTCTTTTAGTCCTTTCTCTCTCAGTCTACCCAGTTACTACAGCCAGAATCCTTAGAATATTTTTAACCTTTCTATCATCACCTTTCTACCATTATTTCTAATCCATCATGTCTTGCTGACTTTATCTCCAAAATATATTGAAAATTGAACTGTGCTCATCTTTCTTGCTGTAATCCTAAGGGTTTTTATTGTTGTTGTTGTTGCTGTTGTTTTTAAAATTTCCTTTAGAATCCATCCTAAAAGAAAGCTTTAAATCATTTTTGTCTTTTGCTATTGTCTTCCACCCTTACCGTTCTTCAATCACCTAGACTTTGTTAGGGTTCTGTAATGTGGCATCTCCTTTTGGCTTAGTTCTTGCATATGCTGTGTCCAATGCCTGGAATGCATAATGTTTAGTCCTCAAAAGGCTGCATCCTCATACTTTAGTCTTTCCTTGATCTTCCTCCATCAATACTCCCCACTCTACTACCCTCTCTAAAACAATTTTGTGTTATTTTTTTTCTTGGTCCCATTCATGATAATTTGAATCATATTGATTTGTAGGCTTATCTGTTTAACGTCAGTCTCCCTTACCAGTCTGTGGGTATCACAAAAGCAGAGATTTTATATAGTTGCCTATCATATTGCCTGCCACTGCACGAGGCAACAGATATTTGCAGGATAAATAGAGGAATGCATTTTTTAAAAGGCTACTAACTTTGCTAGACAGGGACAGAACTCCAGGCAAATGAAAGAATTTTAATATGAAGACAGATGTAAACTTCATAATCTCACATAAAAAGGAAGCAAAATCAGAAACCTCTCAAATTTGTCACAAAACTAGAACAAGAGCCCAACAAGAGCCCAACAAGAGCCCAACTTTGAGCTTTAGTGTGGGTAGTGACACTGTGTATTATCAGGCACACAGTGGCAGCTGGAACCCTGCTCAGCCCACAGGCACTCTGCTTTCCTTCCCACCGGCACAGGCCATAACCCCTATTCGCTAGCAAACCAGCACCCTAAACTTGCTAATGAAAAAGCTGCACTCATCTGCTTTCTGACAACTTGCTTGACCTCTCTGGTAGCTTCAGCAACTTTTAAGGTTATCAGTTTGCTAAAACCCCTCTCTTGTTTTTTTCAATAACAGAAATGAAAATAAAGGAAAGTGACAAGTGAAAATTTAGATTCAAAGCTGGATGCTTCAAAAAAAAAAAAATCTACAGAATCTAAAAGCGAAATTTCACTCAGAAGAAAATTTTCTTTTCTCACGATTTCTAGAAACATTGGTCCAATATACCACAACACCTATCTCACAACACATTAAACTGGTAATTTGTTCAATTGGTATGATAATATAATGAAATGACAATTTTGCAATCGTGGTAAATTCATTTTATATGAAGCAGAAGGTAAACCAGTCTCCATATTAAGGATAGGCTAATTTCCTAAGAAGCACATCCCATCGTCTTATCTAGTACCATCCCAGATGACTCTAGAGAATCATTTACCTTGACTTAAATAATCATTGATCTCTGTCCAAAAGCATATTTTTAGAAGACTGAGTTTAACAGATTTGTTGTAATTATAGCTGTATCTAAATTTTTGGTTGAACACCTACTAGATGTGCTTTCTTGTTGCTCTGTTTTCTCTTGGGGACTAAGCTTTCTTTCTTTTCCCCTTTGATTGGAAAGCCATACATTCAATTGTGAACCAACTTCCACCTTCCTCACCCCCCAGCTACAATCCCCAGCCCCTGATATACTGTTCAAGACTGCAGGCTCTAGAGCCAACTGCTTTAGTTCAAACATGGAGCTATATAACCTAGGGCAAGTTATTTATCCTTTCTGTGCCTCAGTTTCCTTATTTACACATGATGTGTGATCAAAAATACAGTGAATGTTTAAATTAAAAATTATAGTAAGAGACACATTACCATTAATTCCCCTTAAAATACTCCTCTTGGCTTTACACACATTTATCCATTATTCTTGGTAGTTTTTGAAGTGGTTCTATGAGTGTTTTTTTTTTTGTGTGTGTGTACTTAGTTACAATGTCTTTAGATTCATTGTCCTGAATTGATTTAAAATGTTCCTCTCACTGTCATTTTATCTTTGGGAAAGAGTGGGTAACATGCTGTTAGAATCAGTGAATAAAGTGGACAAGGACACACTGTTACGAGCCTGAGTTTCTTTTGGATGGCACCCAGTACAAGGATCACCATACTTTTGATCACATCTTGTAAAGACACTTCCAGAACTGCTCTAGAAAGTGGCAAGAACAAAGGGGATAAGTGTGTTGAAGGCAGAGGGAGTAAGGAGCAGAGGGAGGTTAATAGCAATGTGTCTTCTGTAATAAAGGTTTTTTTGTTTTGCTTTGTTTTTGGTACCAGGGATCAAACTCATGACCTCACACTTGCCAGGCAGGTGCTTACACCACTGAGCTAAGTCCCTGGCTCCATGCAATAAAGCTTTTAAAAATTTTTCATTATTCACTTTATAAAATGAAGATAACATACCCTCTTCACTGGCTGTCAGTTTTACAGAATGCTTAAAAAAGTGCCTGGTATATATTCAAAGGGTAAGTGGCTATTATTATAACTCTCTTGAAAATTTGAAAACATATAAATTATTTTTTCCTGTTTAATCATTGTATAAGTTCCTTCCATAAGCAGAATATAAGTTTTTACTTATTTCTACTTCTTAATACCAGTTAGCTTTAGTTCTAGATTATTACTAATGACTTTCCCTCCTTATAATCAGTATTAGTATTAGATTTAACAAAAATTTTTGTTGATTTAATTTTTTCTGTATTGTTTTTGTATCCCATGCTTTCCTTTTGTTCATCTTTCTTTTAGTAAAGTACATCCTCTGGGAGATCTTTTTAGAGAAAATCTATGAGTAACAAACTTCTGGTGTGTGTCATAAAACATTTTTTTATTTTACACCTTGAATGACATTTTGGCATGCAATATAATTCTAAATATAAATTTCATTTTCTCCAATATGAAGATACCACTCTTTTGTCTACTTGATTAAATGTTAATAATGAGATTTATGTCTTTCAGTTCAGGCAAATTCTTGGCCGTTGTTTGAACAGTGCTTTTCTTCGATTCTCGGTCTTTCCTTTTGGTAATCCTCTTCGATGGGTTGGGCCTCCTTTGTGGCTGTGGAGGTGGTCACTTGTCCTGGCCATTATGGAAACCTCCTGATGCTGCAGGGTATGATAAACCAGCTGGTCTGGCTCCTTAGATGGCAGCTCAATTCTCACAGCTCAGTCTTCACTTACACCTGTGACACTGAGTTGCATCTGGGTTTTCATATCTGCTTCATATTGTACTCACAAGTAACTCACATCTTTAAAGTTCATTGAGAATCCTTCTTTCCGATAGCCTGGCTGTGCATTCATTTAGTTTTAAGTATAAAATATTTTGAATTATTTGAGGATGTTGTAGAGTGGTAATTGGCAAGCCAAACTTGTATTACAGACACTAGATTTGAAATTCATAGGTTCTTCATGTTTCTATTCTATTTTTATATGAATATTAAAATATTTTTCTAATCTTATTTATAGCACACTAACACCTTTCAAATTCAAAGTAAAATAAGTCCAAAAAGGGGTTAAAAGTAGGTAAAGATACAACTTGGAAAATCCCTTGTGCCCTCTACACCAAGCTTACTCACTGTTCATGTGATTCAATTGCTTGCATGGCTCCTTCTGTATCTCATGAAAACACATCTTCAGTTCAGACCCATCCTCTATTTACATTCTACAGTGCTCATTCTAATATTCAATGTCTGCTTATTTTCTATAGGCAACAATACAAAAATAGATTTGATGCTGACCACTGCCCAAATTTTCCTAGCACAAATGATAGACTAGTAATCTTTCTAATGATATGACTTGACACTGTTTGTAATTAAGACTTAGATGAACATATCTCTACTCATGAAAACATTCCTACTATATAGTTGCAATATAAAAAGTTAAATGATTGTATGATTTCAATAGGCAAAATGGTCACATTTTGAACACAACCATTAGATTAGTATAAAATTAAATTTCAATTTTCCAGGATATTATGCTATGGAGCTTTATTCTCTCCATTTAAGGATATCCATATACCATGAATTCTTACTTCTGCACATAAGTTGCTGAATAATAGTGGAGAAACCTGTCAATACCAGGTGGTCTTATATTTATAAATTCATCTGGCAAATGGACATTCAGTTCTCACTGACCTCAATCCTTTTAAACAAACTTGTGCTTTCCCATTCACTACAACAGTTTCCACTTTTTCCTCCAAGCCTTCTACACCACCTTTCCTACCACTCACTCTACAGCTCATGAGCTTGCCTCAGACTTCATTGAGAACACAAAAGAGATCGAACATTTTCATCTTTCCCTTCACTGAAGCTTCGAACTTTCTTGATCTGTATTTGTGTCCTCTGCCTAGTGTCCTGTTGTTATGGGTACTGTCCTTGCTCCTATGTGCTTGGGATTCCATCCCTTCTTGTTATCTCCAGGATTATATTATTGTTAATTACTGTATCTCCCTTCTCTCCTGGGTCATGGGTTTTCTCCCTCTTTTGTGAATCATCCTTGCCTACATTTCCTACTATCTTCTGATCTTAATCCGTGTCCAGTGACTGTTTCCAGGTTTTCTCATGCACAGCAAAATTTCTTGAGTTGTTGTAGGGATCTCATTTCGCATTTCTCCTTCCCATTCTGTCCAAATAAGGCTCTGCCACTTTCCCCTTTGACCTCTATGTTGCCAAGCCTAGAGCATAAGCTTCTGTTTTTCTTAGTTACACAGCAACACTTGACACATGAACAACACGTTTCCTCTGAAAACATCATCTTCTCTTGGCTTCTGTGACATACTCTCTTTTGGTTTCTTTCTACCTCACCAGCTGCCTTCTCTTTTCTTTGATAGTTTCTTTCTGTCAGACCAGGAACCCTAAATACTGCCATGGGCCACCTCCTTTTAATTCAATCCTAAAGCTTTGAATGTTATCTACATACCAATGACTCCAAAATCTCTTTTCTGCAGACTTTTTTCCAGAGCTCCAGAAAACACGTCAATAGCTTACTTAGTATTTCCACTAGATGCTTAGTAAGCAGCTCACAGTTAACACAGTCAAGAGAACAACCTGATTCCATCCTTGTTTCCATTCCTCTTCAAACTTCTCTTCCGTGACTTCATGTCAGCAAAGGGTACCATGTTCACTTAGACGATAAGCACAAGTCTGTTGTCACTGTTAATTCCTATTCACTTCTCTCTTCACAGCCAACCCATCCAAGAGCAAGTCTTGTCATCCTGTCAACTCTACCCCTTACACTTTGTGTCCTGACTCTGTCCTCTACTCTTTATGTCTACAGTAATCCCTTGTGAAGACATCATTTTAAAGCTACCTTTCCTGGATTCTAGTAAGAGCATCCCTAAATGTTTCCCTGGTTTGGGTTCACACAGGAGTTGTAATGACTGCTTCAAGATAATCTGTAAGACTGCCACTCCATGGTTAAAAATCTACCAATGGCTTTTTAACCAGACTTAGCCAAAACCTGAATGGTTCAGGCTGAGTATAAAGCTCAACATGATGTGGTCCCCATCCATGTTTTGCTCTTTTCTTACCCCATATCCTCACTCAGTGCCCTCCTATCACAAGGACTACATTAGATACCCAAAGTGCCATCTTTTTTTTTAAAGACAAGGCTTAGCTATAGTTCAGGCTGGCCTGGAACTCATTATATAACCTAGACTGGCCTTGAACTTACAGCAATCTTCCTGCCTCAGCCTCTGTGTGCCACCACGTTCAGCTTTGTTCGACTCTCTGATTTCACTGAACTTTGTACACCTGGCTTCTCCCTTAATTGTTATCTCTTCAGAGATTCTTTGGACCAACCATCTAAAATGTTAGAATTTTCTGCATTTTTCTCATCTTTATTTTATGAGTTTATTCATTGTATTTGACAGAATCTATGGTCCAAAATGTAGAAAATGTTTCATAAAATATTTTAAAATTGGGCTGGGGATTCAGCTTAGTAAGCACCATCCTGGGAAGCACAAGATTGTGCATTTGATCCCTGGTACCAAAAATAAATAAATAAATAAACAAACAAAATAAAGAAATAGTTTCCAAAATGAACAGAATTTATCTTCTGTAAATTAGAAGGGGAAGAAGGGTTGAAGGGAGAGATATGGTTTCCTTATATCTAGTAATCCTTCAAGGAAGCTACTACTATATCCTTAGTTCCCACCTAAGGAAAGCAAGGCATAGAAAGGTTATGTGAGTTGACCAAGGTCATATGATTAGAAAATGGTCAAACCAGGATTCAGACCAGAAGAACTGACCTCAGCGCTTCCACACTTAACTGAATAATATTCTATTTTTATGATAATTACTAACACCAGTAATGATAAGCAGCATTAATTGAGTATTGTAGCTGTTATATACCAGGAACCTAGGCTTTTTATTTAGGTTAATTTAATCACCACAGCAACAGGCCTATCAAGTATTATTATACTCATTTTGCAGATGCAGAAACAGAATCAAAGAAACTGAACTTCTAGACTAACATCATTGAGCAAGTAAGTGACACAGCCGAGAGTCCAGCTTGGATGTGACTACAAATTCATGTTCGATTGTGCTGTAATGCCCACATTCCCCCCACATGTTCAAATAAGCACTAAGGGACTCCTCCTGACTCTTAGACAGTATCTCATATTTGCAATTTATTCAACTCTCCTGTTTTCTCAGCAAATATTCTGGCCTCATAGGTGCTGATGCACTGTCATACGTGAGCAGGACCTTGTAACTCTCTATGTGCCATTAGGCTTCTTTGCTTAGTCTACTCTCACCTGTGAAGAAACTTCTCGTAGGTCTGGCGGAAGGCAAACCCAGCCCGACGGACTCTCACATTTTCCAGGAGCCCAAGGTATTCTACTTGATGCCGACAGCGTTCTTCATCGAATATCTGAGGGGACTTTTTGTCATTGGGTTTGATACAACGTACATAATATGGTTCCTAAAGAAACAAATCAGTAAATGGTAAGTTTCACTGGAGAAAATTCCCTGACTAGGAGCACTAACATCTAATTAGAGTTAATTATACCAAATGAAGCTCAGTGCCTCTGATTTCTCAGGCATACACTTGTGAATAAATAGTTATTCTCCCTTTCTCTCTCTATTCGAGGTCAGAAGTTCCCATATCCCCAGCTATGTTTTCATTTTACTATGATTTAGAATTCATCAGAAATAGCAGAAGGGCTATAACTAGAAAGTAAAGAACTGAGACATGTAAACACCAAGTTTTTGTGTATTTAAGGAAACATAATTAAAGTTATCGAAGGAATAATTCAAAAGGAAAAGCAGCAACTGTGGTAAATAAAAATCAAATACAACGAAGAATGAAAAATATTAAGGGCAGTTCAGGTGCATATGACTTGTTCCCTAAGTATCAGAAATTATTACTATTTTCATCATCATTGCATTAATTTATATTTTTGAAAAAGAGATTAAACTTTATGGTAAGTCAAGAAATTATAAAAGCCACCTGGAGGCTTCAGTGATTCTATGAAACAGCCTAGCTAGCAATTCTCCCCTCTGTGCCAATTAAGTTTTGTACCATGCATTAGATCATAAATCACGTTAAATATAAAATCATATTTGGCATAGATCCTGGGACACTGAGAATAATGAATAAATTATCACTGGATAAATCCATGAGATAAATATATCCTACTTATTAGTATACAGAGTTTCTCCTGACTTTGCTACGCATAGACATATAGATGCACTCTAAGACATACAGACTTTGGGAGTCAAATCAGGCAGTTTGGTGCACCATAGAGAGCTTGATGTGGCAAAGGGTAGCAAATAATTTAAGAAGTAGGAAAGATTTGAAGAAGGTGAATTGATTTACATTTTGAACAGAATAACAGTTTTTTACATCTAAAAATGAAGGTGCAATCGTATACTTATCATGTTCCTTACAAGGTAAAAAGTAGTATCATTCTCTTTTTTAATGTAAGTCCAATTGTATTAGCTGGGCTGCGGATTTAGCTCAGCGGCATAAGCACCTGCCTTGCAAGCAGGCGGTCGTGAGTTCGATCCCCAGTACGGATTAAAAAAAAAAAAAAAAAGTAATATAATTGTATTAGCTGCCTATTGCTGCCATGCAGATTACCACAGACCTAGCAATTTAAAACAGCACAATTTCATTATCTTACAGCTTTGGAAGAAAGAAGCCTGAAATGGATCTCAACGATCTAAAATCAAGGTGTCAGAAGGATCTAAGGGATAACCTGCTTTCTTATCTTTTCCATAGTGTTGTACACACTCTTGGGCTTGGAACTTCCTTTGATCCTTAAAGCTAACAATGTCCAGTTGAGTCCCTCTCATGATGCCACCTGTCTGGTTCTGATTCTTCTGTTCCCCTTGTTTTTCCCCGAAGGACTCTTGTGATTACATAGGACTCACCTGGATAATCCAGGATAATCCCTCATTCTAGGGTCTTTTGATTAACAGCCTTAACTCCATCTGCAACCTTAATTCTACTGTACTGTGTAATGTAATAGGTTCACAGATTCTGGACTTCCTGGGAGGGCTTTGGTATAATAAAGTATTAAAGGTATAATTCTAATAAAAATATATAGTGTCTGAGTTCACCTATATGGCCAATGATTTAATCAATCATGCCTATGTAAGAAAACCCTAATAAAAACTCAGGACATTGAGGTTTGGAGGAGCTACCTGGATGGTGAGCACTAAATATATAGGTAGGATGCCTAGCCTGAACCCATAGGGACAGAAGCCACAAGCCTCGCCACCCTATGTGTTGCTCCCCCTAGTATTTTACTTTCATCTTTTAGAAAAAAGCTGTTATTAAAACTGCAGCATTTGCTTCACTCCTGTGAACCATTCTAGCCAACTGTCATGCCTGAAGGGGAGTCATGCCAACCTCTAAATTTGTGCCCACATGAATCTGAAGTCAAGGGGACTTTGCTCTTTAACTTGCTGGATGTGACACTAACTGAGTAGTACCAGAGAGAACTAAATTGTAGGATACTAAGATGGTGCTGCGATGAGGAATTATTCTTCTGCCTCTTGCAACTGTCCTTTCTAAAAAATGTGAGAGAATGAAAAGGATAATCATGATATTTACAGTCTTTCCCCATAGGAGGTAGAGGTTCCACCCCATTCTTGAGTCTAGGCTGGCTTTCTAACTTTTTTTTTTATCAAGACAGTATGACAGAAGTGACAATTCTGGAGACCTGCCTTTTCTGATTGTTCCTCTTATAAATTACTTCTTTGAGCATGTAAAGAAGCTCAGGACTAAACATGACATGAAGAAAGATGCCTGGTCATCCAGCCATGCCATAGGTGAGAAAATCTTAGACTAGCCAGTCCCTGTTGCCTGGCCTGGTTGGTGACTCCAGCAAAACAAATGCTCAGTAAATTCACTGAACAATAAACTGTTGTTGCCCCAAGTGCTACATTTTAATGTTTTACATCAAGGGACAAAAAGGGAACAACCCTTCCTATTGTGGAACACCAGTCCTTGGCTTAAACTTCCAATTCCTGTATATCTAAATGGAGGATCAATATTATTATATAATGCAAAGTAGAATTCTATAAAAAATAACAATGGGTGTCAGTTGCTTGTAATTCCAGCTATTTGGGAGGCTGAGACAAGTTAATTAATGAAATAGTGGATAGGCTTTCCACTTTGAGTAATGAAAGATTATACAATTTAAACCAATACTCATGCTAGGTATAACTAGAATAGGTTGGCAAAATATAAAAACATTTGCCTTAAGATACTGGAGAATTAACAAGACAGTGGAGAACTTCTAAGCTGGAATCCAAGAAAGTCAGAATATCATGGAGGAATACTCTGGGTTGAGACTTGCTAACTCCAGAAGCAGTGGATAGGATCTAAATAATGGTTCTGGTAGGAAAGAGACGAAAGGGTTGAAAAGCAGAAATTCACACGAGTCAAAACCACAGATAAATCAGAAGCAGGCATTTCCTTGCAAGGCCCATAGTTCAACTCTGAATAACCTCAGACCTTGAAACTGGAAAAGCCTATTTGTAATAATAATGCTGATTAAGTGCTCAGAAAAAACAAATATTAATCTTTCATGGGAAAAAAATGGCATAAACTTGGGCACCATCATTTAAAAATATACTTCTTGGAACAACAGCAAAAAACCCAAGATCTAGACATATTAGGGGAAAAGACAACCTGAATTAAAAATAACAACAACAACAACAAAACAGAAAACAGACAGACATGCAGGCATCTAGATACTGGTATCAGATACAGACATGAAAATACCTTACCATATTTAAGATGATAGAGACAATACTGAGGATTTTGTATGGAACCAGAAACTACCAAAAAACAAACAAACAAACAATAGAGCAAGTGGAAAATCCAGGATTGAAAAAACACAAAAATGGAAATTAAGAACTCAGGAGATCAGTAAAAGGGTAATTCAGAAATGGTTAGAAAAATATCAAATGAACTAGAAGATAGATAAGAAGCAATTTCCTAGAATGAAGCACAGAGACAAAGAGATGGAAAGGAAGGACAGTAAGAGGCATAGAAGTACTATCTTTGAAATGCTAAAAGAAATGTTAACATAGGATTTCACATAAGCAAAGATATTCTTCAAGAATGAAAACCATATAAAAATATTTTTGGGTCAACAAAAGCAGAATCTGTTACTATGAGATTTCAACTACAACAGGGCAGAGTTCAAGCAAAAGAAAATGATCCCAAGTGAAAGATCAATAATAGAAGAAAAAGAAATAAATGATAAACGACAATAAATCTAAATAGATACTATGTGTCATAATAATAATAAATACTTGCCTTAAGTATATATTTTAAATATATGATGTGATACATGCATTTTTACATATAAGTTAAAATACCTGACCAATATAAGTTTTGATAAATGAAATTAGGATGTTTGATTTGCCTTGCATTGCCCAGGAAGAAGATAAAAGTTTCAAGTAATATTAATTATCGATATTCAAGAATAATACTGTAGGGCTGGAGATTTAGCTCAATGGTGCAAGTGCCTGCTTGGCAAGTGTGAGGTCATGAGTTCAATCGCCGGTACCAAAAAAAAAAAAAAAAAAAAAAAAAAAAAAAAAAGAATAATACTGTAATAGGTCAAGTTAACCACCAAGATAATATTATGATATAAATCTTCTAAAATAATAAAGGGAACAAATGGAATAACAGAAATAATCATAATGCTGGGAGAGGTGTGGGGAGGTGCCTTTTTAGGCTTAACTAAACATTCTGATCCAAAAGACTCACAGGCAATATCTGGCACCAATCTCTTTGGAAGGACAGGAACAGAGCTTGCCACCAGGAAGTGCAAGGCACTTGCAAGAGCACGCAGAGGTCAAATGACAGGTCAGGTGCAAGCAGGTGAGCTCTCTATTGGGTGGCTGTGGCAGATGCCCTGCTTAAAAAGTCTTACGTCTTACAGGAGCCAAATTCTCTTAATACACCAAAGCAGATACAGCTTCCTGGGTCCCCATGAATGGCATGCCCAATATAAGAGTCACAGAGCTCACACAAGCTCCAAGTATGTTTTCCTCATTAGATATTTGCCTTTTTCCAGCATAGATGCAATTTATCAGCAGAGATCATTTTCAACATAAGCAACGTTGCTTTGTGATATTATTGATATGTATCTTTTACTAGGTTACTGGGGAGAATGGAGTTAGAAATTTTACTGAGGTTAATTTGTCAAGCAGAGGAATAGAGTTTTATTTACATTTGCCTATAATAAATGAAAAGGTTTGAAAGGGAAGAAGCAAGTTTTAAAAAGGTCAAAAAGAAAGTACTAAGAAAATGGTTGATCTAAAGGCAACAATAGTACTTTAAAAGTAAACGGACTAAAAGATTTATTCAAAAGATAAAAGATTGTCAGGATAGACAGGATAGATTAAAAAATCCAAACTGTACACTTTTACAAGAGATTTTGAAATATGAGGATA